AGTGGCCTTTGCTTGGGGAGGGTCCTTCTCTCTGAGCACAGGGACTTTCAGTTCCAGGTGGTCCCAATGCAGTAGGGATGTGGTAGCCCAGGAGATGAGAATTGACCTCTGAACCCAGACATGGCTTCTGGGTCCTTGGTGCGGGGTGGTGGGGCTGGAGCACTGAGAGCAGAGACAAGGGCAGGTCTGGGTTCAGAGAGAAACAGAGCAGAGACAAGGGACTCAATGAGAGATCGGAGGGAGAGACGCCACAGGGAGTGGGAACTCACGGCCAAGCTGCGGCCCCAGCCGCCCAGCTGGCCCCTGACCCGGGCCCGCCCCCTCCCCGGTGGGGGGCCTGCTGGGCCAGCTGCCAGGGTCCAGGCCTCCTTCCTCAGCCTGCCCCCCTCAGTCTCTGGACTGCTCAGGCCTCTGCCCCCGCCCCCACCGCCCACGCTGTCCAGGCTGCCTAGGCCTGTGGGATCTGGGGGCCTCCGGCCTCGGCCCCTCCTCCCCTCCTGAAGCTTCCTACCCGCCCTGACGGTCTCTCCCAGGCTCCCTCTGGGCCTACTGCATCCTTGTCCTGGCGCTGCCCTTGGTCCTTTTCTCGCCACCTCCACGTGGCTTGTGTCTCATCCTTGCTCCTACCTACATCCTTTGCAGGGCTAAGGCCTCAGCGTCCCCCAGGCCTTTGAGATGAGATGGTCAGTCCATGACATGCCCTGCGCCCTTGCCCTGTTCCCAGGACTGCTGAGAGGGAAGGGGAGAGGGGCAAGAGCCTGGGACAGAAGTCCCTTCTCCCTCACAATGGCATTCCGGGGTCTGAGGTTGCCAAGGGAGGACTGGGAGCAAGATAGGGAGGGCATCTTGCCCCTCCCATCAGATGGAATGTCCCTGACCCTACCCAGAGTCCAGGGGTAGCTAGGCCCGGGAACTTCTTTGGAGCTCTGTTTCCCCACCTTGGAGACACCTCCAAGGTAGTAACTTTGTGGTAGTAACTTTGCATTGAAGCTACTCCCTGGGGCCTCCCTGCTCACTGGGTTTCCAGGCCAGATTAAGCCTGCCTGACCTTCAGGACACCCAAAGCAGCCAGCACCCTAAAGCCAAGCTCAGGACACACTGTTGCAGATCAACACACACAATTGTAGCACCCTCACCCTGCCCCAGGGGCTCTGGAGGACAGGAGGGGGCCAGCTGTGTCCGTGCGTGGTGGGGTAAGTAGAGGCTCCCCAAAGCTAACATCTCTCCTCCCTCAGCTGGGATGGGGCTGGAAAGAGGAGTCTTGGGCCCTACATTCTAAACCAGACTTAACAAGTGGGTAATTGAGGTCTCTGAGCTACAGCCTGTCACCATGTCACTGCTGGGGACCCTCAGCCTCTGGTGCCAGTATTACCATGAACTGGCCTGACTGAGTCTGACTCTGCTGGGGTCCCTGTGCCAGTGTATTGATGCCACAGTGGGTGTCATTCTGTGTGACTGCCAGTCTTGCGTTGCTGTTTTTTCTTTTCTTTTTTTGCGTTGTTGTTTTTTCTAATCCTGAAGTGCCCGTCACTGTTTGACTGTGCCAGTGCTACAGGTGTCGGTGCCCTGCCCTTCACCTCATCATCCGTCACCCTGGTGATCGTCAACCTCCCCGAGTGCACCGTCTCTGTGGAGCAGTGTCACTTTGACTGGGTATTGTTAGCACTGTCTGATAGTATCTTGGTGTCACAGTGCGACAATGGCAGTGAGTTGAGGCCTCAGGGTTTGTCTCTTAATTTGTCACCCTGTGTGTGTGTGCGAGTGCAGATGGCACTGTGGGGTTCAGTGTCAGGATATGGTGCTGACAGCGAGTCAAGAATGCCTGGGCACTGGGCTCCTCTCTTTCTAGTGGGGTCCCCTCTGATATGGCTTCATTCTGGGCTGGGGCCAGAGGCTGGCCTGCTCCCTGGATGCCTATAGGAGAAAAGTGGTTTGCATTCCAGAGCCAGGGGCGTGGAGTTGGAAAATTTCGGGGAAGAATGTTTTTTGGCCTGGGATCGGTGGCCTGAGGTGAGCTAGGGTGGGGCAGTGGTGTGGCCTGGATGCCTCTGGCCTCAGTCACCCCACCTGGGGAATGGGGACCAGCTGGGACTTAGAGGGGAAGGGAAAGAGAAACTGGCCCAAGGCATTCTGGGACCTGCCAGCGGGAGCAGGGATGGGATGGGGTCTGAGTCCAGTCCTGCCCACCGGGCTCTGAGCCTCCTGTATGTCCAAGGAGAAACCTCATGGCCCCAGGATGGCCCTGGCATGCACACTGCCCTCACACCGGAAGGACTGGGTGGGCTCTAGGGTGGGCACAGAGACCCTCACAGGGGCTCCTTCATTCTCCTGGGCCACCTCTCATTGTCCAGCCTCACTAGTCTCCCTCCGCCTGTCTTGTCGTCTTTTCCCACTTCTCCTTATCTCTGATCTGTGCCCCTCCCCCAGGTCCTCACGAATGCCTCTTCCCTTCCCCTGACTCTCTGACTCTCAGCACCCCCTGCCTGGGGGGATCTCTCCCTTCACTGGGCACCCCCAACCCTGCAGTGTCTGTGTGGTACCCCATCCCCCACCCTCCGCAGAGCTCAGCAGTGCTTGTCTCCCAGGCTGCAGCCCGTTGGCCCAGGGCCCGGCCCTTACAGTAACTCATCGGGCTGATGGAGGCGACTTTGATGAAGAAGCCACCCCTCCCCCAGCTGGGGCCTGAGTGTGTGCCTGCTGTGCTCTGTGTATGCCTCAGTGCATGTGCCCCTGTGCCTGGCTGTGCCCTCACCTCTCCCACCTGCCCAAGACCAGGCAGGGCACTAGAGCCCCTTCCTTCTTCTCCCGGCCCATGACCTAACCTCAGGCCACTTCACTGGCCACTCCGCTCAGCAGGCCCAGGCTGCGCCCCCATGTGATGGGCAGTGGGCCCGGGATGGACAGATGGCAGGGATGGTCGGGGAGGGCTGAGGGCCACCGGCAGGGGTCAAGATTCAGGGTGACCTCGACCTCCGGCTTCTCTCTCTCTCTCCAGCACTAGTTCTGAATTCTGACCATCCTGGGTCCCCACCCCCACCCTGCTTGCTGGCTGTGTGCTAATAACCTCTGAGACCCAAGGGCTGGCTTACCTGAGGGGAGCGGCTGAAGCCGGGAGGAACCTGACCAAAGGATGGCCAAGTCCCAGGAGCCACTGAGGGGGCTTAGGCAGGGCCAGAGGGGACCTTAGATAGAGGAACCGGGCCAGGAAGGGGAAGCCGGAGCACCTGCAGCCGGGGCCTGGAGGAAACCCAAGTCAGACAAGGAACCCACCAGGTGTAGGCCCTGGGCAGGTAGGAGCCTCCTCCACCCGCCATCCCAGCCCTTGAGGTTCAGCAGACCCTCCCTGCTCTCAGCCCTGACACCCCCGGTTCTCTCCCCACTGCTGTACAAAGTCTGCAGTGTCTCTAGCTGTTCTGCTGGCAATGTCTCTGGACGTGTCTGGCAGCGGGTCTCTGTCAGTTTCTCTGGCTGTTTTCTCACACCATGTCTGGCAGTTTCTCCAGCAGTGTCTCTGACAGTGTCTCTGGCTGTGTCCCTGACAGCTTCTCTGGCAGTGTGGCTGATGGTGTGGCTGGCAGCGCTCTCAGGATGGCTCCTTCCTGACGGCCGAGCATCTGGCTGGGTGTCTGGCTAGTGCTCGAACTGTTTTTCTGGGTGTACGCCTGTTTGTGTCTAGCGGTTCCTCTGGTCTTTCTCTGCTGTGTGTCTGACAGTTTCTCTGGCGGTGTTTTCTGACCGAGTCCCTGGATCTCTGGCCATGGCGCTGGTGGTTTCCCCTGCTGTGCGTCCTGCCTTCTCAGGTGGTGTGTCAGGTGGCATCAGGGGGCTCTTCTCCGCTGCTGTCCTCGGGCTGTTTCTCCGGCGGTGGCGGTGCATCTGGCTGTGTCTACCTGTTTCTCCAGGGTTGTCTCTCAGCAGCTCTCTCCACGCCTCCGTGACAGGCCCCAGCTGGGGTGAGGCGGTTTCTTTGGGGCTCTGTGGTGCCGGGGGTGGGGGTGAGGGTGGAAGGGGAGTATGCCTGCCCAGTGTCTCTTCTGTGTGCCCATGTCTCTGAGAGTGGTCCTTGCTCAGTGCCTGGCCCGGCCCCTCTGGTTGACCGCTCCACTCTCCTGAGTAGGGTAGGGGTAAGGGGGGGGGGGGCTCACAACTGGGATCTCCTCTGCCAGAAACATTTCCCTGCCCTTGGGCATGAGCCCATGTGTCGGGGGGACTCGTGGGCTCACCCCGGGAAGGAGGACAAGTGGGGTCCACCAGGTCTTCTGGAGACATGGCCGGGTAGGCCCTGTGAACCAGTGAGCTGTGATGACCATGGCTGGGCTTGGGGCCAAGGGGAAGGATGCGCTGGTGTCCCTTGAAAGGACTCAGGTGCACAGCCCCCTCCTCTCTTGACCATTGGTGGACAATACAGTAGAAGCCACGCATGCCTTGGGTCACCACATCCCACTGCCTTGGTATGTGCTGCTTGGGTTTCCCCTGAGCCCAGTGGCAAGGGAGTGGGAGGAGCCAAGGGGCTCTTGGGCACCCAGGTTCCGGTCAGGGGATCTCTCCATTCAAGGTAACTTGGAGAAGTGCAGGCCTTCAATTCAGTTCAGACACACTGTTCTAGTTTGTGATGTTTATAGCTATTAGGCAGCCTCACCAGGAAAGGTGGTCGGGTTTGTTTGTTTATTTGTTTGTTTTACAAAAATGGCCCTGGCATTACCACCGTTCTATAACTCATCCGTGGCCGACTACATCCTGCAGCCAGCGGCCTGATCGAACAGCAAACCACTGCAGGTTACCTTCTCCCATCTTAGCAAACATTGCCCTACAGATGCCAATAATGTTGCTTTCTATTGCTTGAAAGAAGATCCGGAGCCCCATTAAGAAGGGCGTTGGGGGTCAAGGTGCCCTGGCCTTGGGGCTGGGACTGGGATTTCCCAGTCTTGCCTTAGACCAGGAGGGTGGGGAGGGCTTTCCAGTGCTGATGTTGCTCCTCCCCTGCCCGCTTCTCCCAACAGATGGCCGCTCCTGTCCCATGGGCCTGCTGTGCCATGCTCGCTGCAGCAGCCGCAGTTGTCTACGCCCAGAGACACAGTCCGCAGGGTGAGTGAATCCCGACAACCCCCTCACCTGGGGCTTGAGCCCGCACCTGAGCACCTCGAGGGACCTGGGGTCACATGACACTGACATCTGTACAGGGTGACCCTCCGCTTGTGTCTCACAGGCACGGTCCCCCCACTGTCACATCCTGCATGCTGACGGTGTCTCTGACTTGGGTGGGTGCAGGCTGCAGGCAGATAGGAGGACGAATGTGCAGTGTGCCTTTGGGGAGCACATTTGTTAGGGTGCGGTGAGAGGCACTGAGGAGACCGTGGACGAGACACCGGCCCCTCTCACTGGCCCCTCTCTGTCTCAACCCCACTTTAGAGGAAGGGCAGGGGACTGGGAGCAAGATAGGGAACAGCAGACTGGGGTGGGCTGGTATAGGGGCAGGTCAGGGGGTGGTGAGCAGGGAGTTGCTCAGGACTGGCTGTCAGGCAGCCTCCCCACCCCACCCCCCATTTGTTCAGTGAGGGCTGAGTCCTCTCCATAGCCCCCAGGGCAAGGAGCTGCACCCACTCAGAGGACCCAGGCACCCTCTTAACTTGACATCCCCTCCACCCCACTGGCATTTGAAGCAGCACTTCCCATGACCTTTTTAGCATGAGGAATTGTTCAAATTCTCCTCAGCAAGGTTCCAAGGAGGGGAACTTCCTCCTGGACACACCCTGTCCCCCTGTCCCCCCCACCATGGCAGACCATGAGGCAGAAGAGGTCTCGGGCTCAGGACCTGCTGGCTGATCTCTGCCCCTCCACCCCCTACCCTACCCTGCCCTCAGTCTGCCTGTCCTGGGCCCCTGAGCTAACCACACCTGCCTATGACCTGGCAGTGGTCCCTGCCATTGGCCCGGCCTCTATCCTCAGCAGAGGGGAAGGCTCGTGTGTGTGCAGAGGCGGGGCCTCATGTGACCGTGTGACACATCCGCCCTTGTGCACCGGACTGTGTGCTTGTGTGGGTGAGAGACTGTGTGGTTGTGTCCTTGTGGGCTGGCCTCCATGAATGGCACGTGTGCCCTTTGTGGGGTAAGTGTGTGTCTGAGGTTGTGCCCCACATGTGATCGCATCTCTGTCTCTGTCTCTCTGGGTGTGAAATTGTCCCCACATAGAACCAGGCCTGCAGGTGACAGTGCCCCTTTTGTGCATGCCCGTGATCCCGGGACAGCGTCCCTGTGTGATGGTGACCTTTCGGGTGGCTGTCCTCGGTGGGTGACCTTCCTGCCTGTGTGGCAGTGTGGCGTTGCTCAGGACGCCCTCCCGGGTGGGGGGACTGTTTCCGGCATGTGGTCCCCATGTGAGCCAGTGTGCGCAGGTGTGAGGGAGCCGGCAGCTCCGTCCCTGTCCCTGTGTGTGCTCCCCGTCCATGACCTCATCCTGTCTCTGCCTCTCATCCTGGCTTCTAACAACCTTTTCACAGCTGACTCCTTGGGAGCATTTGTCACTGCGTCAGGGCCAAGAACTGCGTCCCCGTCCCGTCCCCACCACCCCCACTCCCCTTGCTGCTTGATTTAATTTCTGAAATGGCCAGCACATCAGGAGGGGCACCTACGGGGTGGGAGCAGAGCTGTCTGTCTGGAGACAAAGGATCCGGTCCCTGCCATCTTTGGCACGGTTGTGTTACTGCCACTGTCCTGTTGTTGCAGTGGCGTGGCGGGTCGCAGCTCTCAGGGCCTCTGAGCTGTCTCCTGCCCTGCCTTGGCACGTGTTCACCCCGCATTGTCCCACTGAGGGCTTGGTGAGGCGGCTCAGGTGTGCTGGGAAGAGCAGGCTACCACCGTGGCATCTGGCTGTGGGGTCATTGTGTCCTCCTCCTCCTGTGGCCAGGCCTGTCCCCGGCATGAAAGGGCCCATCCTGGCTCAGGGCTCCCTCAGAGTTGTTGGTCAGTGTTGATGTGTGGCCTTTGGGATCCGCATGGCCACTCCCCCTCCCCAACGGTCAGTTTTCAGCCTCCTCCTCAGGCAGCTGGATGCAAAGTGGGGGGCGGATGGGGGGCGGTGCATGCAGGGAGAGGGTTTGGCATGCTTCCTGGAAGCTCCAGGTTTTTGGAAGGGAGACGAG